GCAATATGAAGGAGAAAAGGAAAACTACTTCTAAAAAAAGGCTTGGAGGAACTGGTCAGGACAATCAGCAAGAATCAAAAACTGACTCCCCCCTTCCCCCCCCCCAAAAAAAATAGTTGAGAAACCAGCAGATAAAAAGTATGCTGCTGACTGGCACTTGAGTAGCAATGAATATTTTGGAAAAGATCTTCAGATGCTATGACAAACCACAGTTTGCACAAAGCTAAAAAGATCAGAAATTCATAGGCAGTGGTTTTCCCTGTGACAATCTATGGTAGTGGAAATTGAAGAAGCAGGATAGAAAGTATATTTTCACTTTTGACGTTTTCTCCAACACTTCAGTGCATAAGAAAACTCCTGAAATACCATAGGTAATCAAAAGAAAAAAGAAAAATATATACCATTGAACAATTCAATCCAAAGTTTTCATTTGATGCACAAAATACCAGATTTAAGTTATTTTAAATGATTACATGATTTTATACTAGACATATTTAGTTATTTTATAAAGCCTGTAATGCTGAGAAAGGCAGAAGGAAAAAGAAGACCAGCAACAAAACAGATGGATTCAGTTACAGTGGCAATGTATACTTTGTTGGAAGACCTGCAGGACTGTTGATGGATTTATGTGGTTGCTAAGAGTCAACAAGCCTCTTGCTTTCACATAATCCACCTACATCTACATATCTGTATTTATGTATACCTGCATGAGTTTTCCAGCAGGAGTATTATATCTATGGACATAATTCTATTTGTCCATAGATATTCCATTAGCAAACATGGTAAGGCAAGTATTTATTGCGTCATTGGGAAAAAACATTAAGAAGTTCATTAGCAGTACTGTATAATTACAGCAAATGAGACACAGCATTTTAATAGTTTAAATTATTATATATTGAACTGGAAGTCTTTATAATGAGAATTGAGAACACAAGCTCTCCTGATTAGGTTACATAACCCTGTACTACATAAGTAGCAAATCCTGTTTCTGAGGCGTGTGCTTATTTGAGAGAAAAGGTAAAGTATGAGGAATTTCTGAGAGTTGTAAGAGCTGTTTCATTTCTAGTAGTCTTTCTATGTAAACCTCTGGTTCTTTCATCATTGAAAAGAATCTTAAAAAGTTAAAGTATGTTCCTGGTCAATTGGATTTCCCCCCCAGTCAATTAATAGGCACTTGCATTCTCTTTATTACTTGACATATCATATGCCCACTTCTTAAAAGAGATTTGTGTTTCAGTCTGTAAGACACTATTTTGAGTTGGATGTACATTTAAAACACCAATCCTCTTGAATTTAGAAGGAAATAATCTGGGCTTCTTCATACAGATGAGCGGAATTGACTAACCACTCTTGTAAAGTGTTCATTCACACACATGACAAAATGAAGAGTAAGACATTTTCTACCAAATGGCAAAATTCAGACAGTACATGAAGGTTATGAAGCCAAAAGTAGCCTTGCTGTTAGGCACAATTAGACAGGTAATTCAAGTTGGATGATTGCTCTGGGTAAGAGCTGAAAGCTAGATCCTTGGCAGCTTGAAGATGTTTGGACTTGCTTGCTGGGGAATTCTGAGAGTTAAAGTCCACACACATCTCCATGTTGCCAAGGTTGAGAAACACTGCATTAGATTGAGAACTGAGAAAAACAACCTCAAACTTGGAATCAGATAGTGGCAAATCATTTTCACATTTTTGTCCAACTCCTCACATGAGTTAGAAGAAGAACTGGAGAAGATAACAAAATAGAAAGACTTGAAAATAGAAGTAGAATGACTGTGGCAAAAGAAAGCAAAAGTAGTATCAATAATAATAGGTGTCTTGGGTCTAATGCCAAAATAACTGGAGCACCACTGAACACCATCAAGGAACAACACTGCCTATACCAGGTCCTTAAAATACATGGATAAAAATGTCAAATCCAGTCTAAACATCTGGATGGCTGTGTGATAAACCATGGATAAGTTAATCATAATAAAGTGTTACAGCTACTACCAAGAATCATTTCTGCACCTCATGTATGAAGGTTTCCGAAGAATCTGCCCATCTTACCTAGCTACCCCAGCCTTGTCAACTGTGGATCCCTCCAGATGAGTAGGATAACACCCAGAATATCCTTCCCAGCATGGACATAGCTAAGGATTCTAGGAATTGAAGTTTATTTGAGTGACTGGATCCATATAGAGAACAATAGAACTCTCTCTGAGGAAATGGGGAATTTCTTAGGAATCAAATATTAATTATATAGCCTGCCTGTATGGGAGTTGCCTAGCCTTCTGAGGATGGTTGGAGGTTATAGGAGACTGTTTCTCAACCTTGGATACTTTAAAAAGCGTGGACTTCAACTCCCAGAATTCCTCAGCCAGTGTAAGCCATCTTATCTCAGCAGGATCTCTTGTGCCATTCCATTGAGAGCTTTTTCTGGTTAAAGTCAGCACCATTTGATGCTGACTTCAAATAAATCCATAGGTGAGACATGTAGGATTTTTTTTATGGGGTGAGGATGACATTATGATAATAATTTGCCAATGCCTGTTCTAGTTTTTTGGGTTTTTTA